AAACTGCTGCACAAGACCTCTTTAAAATGGTGAGAAGAGTAAGGATGCGGCTTGGAGGAATAAGGAGCCCCTGTCCCAAGTCATGGTGTTTTCTGTGGTCTCGTATGCTTGTGAAAGTTGGACAGAGAATAAGGAAGACTTAAGAGGAATTGATACATTTTAATTATGGTGTTGGCAAAGAATGTTTTAAGTAGCACGGACTGCCAAACAAATCTGTTTTGGAAAAAAGCACAGCCAGAATGTTACTTAGAAGCAAAGATGGCGAGACACCCCCCACCCCATCCCCTCCGCATACTTTGGAAATGCAGTCAGGAGAGCCCAGTCCCTGGAAAAGGATCTCATACTTGGTAAGGTGGAGGGTTATTGAAAAAGAGGAAGTCCCTGAACAAGATGGATTGACAAAATGGGCTCAAACAGAACAGTTTGGAGGATGGTGTGAGTCTGGGTGGTGTTTTGCTCCCTAGTACATCGGGTTGTTATGAGTTGAAACTGATTCCAGAAACCTAACAACTCCCGAACCCAAACTAAACTCATTCCATCTAATCACTTAGAGCTTATAGAGACCCTGCAGGACAGGGTAGAACTGCCCTGTGGGTTTCCGAGACTGCAGGAAGTAGAAAGCCTTGTCTTTCTCCCTAAGAGTGGCTTGATGATTACAAACTGCTGACCTTGTGGGTTTGCAGCCTGATGCATAACCACTATGCCACCAGGGTTTCCTAGCAACTATAGTGGCTACAAAACCAAATCACGTTTTCATGGATTCAAAAAGATCTAATCTTAATGACTCATTTAAACACGAAGAAGTCAAAGGTCAAAATCGAAACAAATCTCTTAGTGGTATTACTCAACTATGAGATCTCTCTGTCAATGAGCTAACAGAGCAAGTGGGTCTCTGTCCATTAGGTACTGGTTATGAGACTTTTATGACAGCAGTTGTAGTGGCCGTCTAGTCACAACTACCTTCATTATAAGGCTAAGATGCTATTTGGTCTTTATTATTATTCTGGCACAATTCACACGACAGAAAACGAACCATTTTGAAAGCATACAATTCAGTGCCTCTTTCATGAACGTGAGAGTCCGCTCTTGGTGCAGGGGCACTGGGAGCCTTTGAAGGTTTGGGGGCCGGAGAATAGACAATAGTCTGAGGTGAATTTGAGGCACATTATGTTGAAACTGTTGTGTAGGAGTGATTGGCACATGGAGATCATAAGAGAGTTACCCAAACACAAATACACACTAAACACTGTAGACACCAAAATGATGATCTATAGACAAGGAAAAAGATCTAAGGCAGTTCTAAGACACGTATAAAGTAAAAAAAGGGCTTTGAGAACTATTCTAGGGTCCAAATTATTATCATTTGATGACAAGAGAAGTGAGACAGAGGAGAAAGAGAATCAAGGGTAATGGTAAAGATTAGGTGTTAGTGCTGGTGAAATGATACCGCCTCTTACGCACATGGAAGAGGTAGAGGGGAAGGTTTGTGGAATGATCCCCTTCCGTCATTGTGAAGCGTGGACTCTCACCGCCGTCATGTCCATTCTAAAGCATGGTGACCCTCTAGGACAGATCTGTCCCTGTGGGTTTCTGAGATTGGGAGCCTTTATGGGAGCGGACTGTTTCCCCTTTCCCCCACAGTGGCTGGTTGTTTCCAACTGCTAATTTGCTGGTTAGCATGCTGTAAACATGCATAGGAGCCGTTTAGACGGGCCCTGGTGTCATGCGAGTTGGGCTACCATGCACAAGGTCCGCAGTTGGAAACTCCCAGCCACTTTCCAAAAGAATGATGGGCTTTCTACTCCTGTGAAGACTTGGTGGTCTCAGAGACTCCTCTTCTACCCTGTCCTGTCAGCACTGACTGCATGGCAGGGGGTGGTTGTTTGGTTTTGAGACATTTTTTAAGTCTTGATCTGAAACTTTCTCGAGGGCATAAGGTTGCTCATTAAGCTGTTACAACAAAACAGCCTAAAACTAGTCAGTTCTTTACAAAACAGAAATGTGGCTTTCAGGATTTACTAGTAGTTTTCTTTTGCTCCATGGGCTAAAATGCTATGTGCTCTTTTTTTACCGACTGAAGTAAAATTCACACAACACAGTCGTAGCCACTTTAAAGGAGAACAGCTCAGTGGCGTTTTGTTTTCACAGCGCTCTGCAGTCACCACCTCTAGTTCTAGTCCACCGAGGAAACACATTGCCTGTCCAACTGTAAGAAGCCTTGAATCAACGCGGAACAATAGTGCAATGGCCAGTGAGATGAACTAGGGGCTGCTAAGATCCTTTCTTACCTGCTAAGACTTTCACTGGATTTGCTGCCTTCAATGGAGTCCCTTAAGGAGTTGTTGCTTCTGTTGGCAGAGGGATGGGAGAAATGAAAGATAACACAATGGTATTTTCTTATCGATGGGCTGAAGGCATGTGAGGAAAATAATTTAATCTTATTGGGTGAAGTACTATCAACTGATAGCAAGTTAACAAGACAGTATTCATGATAAAACAAATGTATTAGGTTCAAGTTCACTTTCAGACACAGACTTAAGACCGAGGATGGGGCTCTGGATATTCCTGCTGGAGAGAAGCTTGAGAGAAACAGAAAAGCTGAAGAAGAAGAAAAAAAGAAAGAAAGAAAGAAAAGCTGGATGGAGGAGGATTGACGTAGAAAAGGAGAGGCAGAAAGGCTGCGCAATGCAAAGAATGCAATCAATGTCACGTAGAAATGGAACTGGAGCATGCTCCTCTGCATATATTCTCAACAACAACATGATTCTTCGAATCTGGCAAAGCCACTTCTCTGTGCATGAGCCATCTTGGGCGGAGATGAAAGCCCAGGACGTTCTGGCAGAGGCTGAGACCAGAGGCACCAGAGACTACGGCACAGAGCGAAAAGAGCAGCCCTGAGACTATGGGGCAGTGAGACACAGCAGAGTGACAGGCGGGCTGCCTGGTCCACGGAGGGGAAAGCTATGTGGCTATGTGGCTGAGAGGCTGAGGAGCAGAGAGAGATGATCGTTGTTTAGGGTGTTATTTTAGGTTAGGAATTTCATTTCTTTATACTCCAGCTGAGGAGAGGAGTTGCTGTGACCAATGACTGATCCTGACTTCTGGTAACCTGTTGACTTCCCTAGTAAACGCCTTCACTTATGAGTATTGCTTGCGAGTCTGCGTGGTCCCGGAATGAATTCTGGAACCCAGCATAGAGGTAGAGCTGTGTGAGAAGCATGGGTGGGAGGAACAGGTACAGCATAATGGAGCATGGAGGCATGTCTGACTTTTGCCTGTGATAACGGAGGCCATAGGAGGTCAGACATGGCCTCTCATCTCATTTATTGCAGAAGCCTATATGCTCACCCATTCTCCTGCCACGTGTCCAAACAGAAGTCCCAAATAACCTGACCACATACAAATTTCCTGGACAGTTAATTAGATTCAGAATCTCCGATTATTCTTACCTAAGGCATATCTCTGGTCTCAGTCTTAATTCAGTAATGCAATCTCTTATTCTATCATTTCTGTATGATAGACAAATATGGCTCTCAGTTAATTCTATAAAGGACAACTTCCAGATTTCAGGTAGATTTAGAATAGCATCGCTCATATGTATTTAAGTATTTGATAAGCCCCAGCAGATTTTAGATCCCCAACCAAATTTTGCAAAGTGCTACCTCTGCAGTTGGCCTCAGAAGTGCTTTCCTTCCATGAGCTTAGATGTTGCTGACAAGCTCTCTAAAAAAAATAATTCTTCCCCCAATAGTTTTACTGAGACAGAATTCACATATCATATACTTCAATAGTTCAGTCATATTTAAAAAACATTGTATATATATCACCACAATTTAGTTCCAGAACATCCTGCCCACTCCCATTTTCCTTCAACCTGCTCACCATCACAATGCCCTGATAAGCCGTTACACCAGTTCTACACATCTATCATGTGTTGTCATAGGGGCTAATATATACTGACTAGACATCTTAAGGAACTGAAGATTGTTTAAATATAAATATTATTTCAGAAAGTATCACTTTTAGATATTTGACATATAATCAAAAGAACAGTATAACAGATTATACTAAAAATATTACATATCATGTTAAAATGCTTTCATACATATTAATCTGAATAATACCAAAAACCAAACTCACTGTCATCAAATCAATTCTAACTCATGTCGAGCCTGTCTGGCAGAGTAGAATTGTCCCTGTAGGTCTCGGAGGCCGTATCCATTCACAGAACACTGTGTAGTTAGCAGTTCAACGGTAATCACTCCCTCACTGGTGCTCCTTAACCGAATAACTTTTTTAGCTTCCCACATGCTTGTATAGGAAAAGGATGGTGAACCAGCTGACTCTTTTTGTGATCTGGTCTTTTATTCATTTTATATAAATGACTGCCATGAATATATAGAGAATCAAAGTCTTTTCTATTGGGATATGAAAAAAATTTGAGAATTGTGTAGTTTCTAGGGTTCTAGACTTAAATTCAGTGTTACATATTGAATGATGAAGGAAGCATCAAAAGAAAAATAGAAAGAGTACACAGTCACGGTACCAAAAAGAACCAGTCAACACTGAGCCATTTAGAGATAGCACAGGAACCAACGGTACTGAAGGAAGAAGTCCGAGCTGCTCTGAAAGCATTCGCCAAAATCAAGGGCCCAAGAATTGATAGAACACTAATGAAATGTTCTAACAAGCTGATTAAACACTAGAAGCACTTACTTGTCCATGCCAGGAACTTTGGAAGACAAACTACTTGACCACTTGACAGGAAAAAACACATATTTGTACCCATTCCAAAGAAAGCTGACCCAATAGGATACTCAAATTATACAACATCAGTGATGTCGCATGCAAGTAAAATTTTGCTGAAGATCAACAGTTGCAGCAGTACATTGACAAGGAGCTGCCAGAGGTTCAGGGCAGATTCGGGAGACGATGTGGAAAAAGGGATATCATTGCTGATGTCAGATGGATCTTGGCTCAAAGCAGAGAATACCAGAAAAATGTTTACTTCTGTTTTATTGACTGTGCAAAAGCATTCAACAATGTGGACCATAACAAATTATGGGTAGCCTTGAGAAATTATGGGTAGCCTTGAAACACACGCAATGACACTGAATGCAGGATGATCACAGGCCAGTGACGTTGTAAGCATCTCAGTGCTGGCAGGGGTCTCCACGTGGCTTCTCTAGCACCCAGGGCTGCATCAGGATAGGCCCATGTGGCTTCTCCTCAGGGATGTCTTGCAGGGAGTCAGCCTTGTCAGTAGAGAGTCTCCAGGGAGTCAGCAGAGTGAGAGAGCATGTCTCATGCCTCCAAGAAGAAATACAGGATTTCCCAGAATTCTCGGAAGCCCATGCCCACACAGAGGCCTCCTTGTCTTTGATCCGATTGACAGACTAGACTCCACCCCTCACTCATAAGCCTCTCAAATTGAGGCCAGATTATGTAACTACCACACCATGTGTTTTCTTTTTTTTTTCTTTCTTTTTTTGAAATCATTTTATTAGGGGCTCATACAACTCTTATCACAATCCATACATACATCAATTGTGTAAAGTGCATTTGTACATTCATTGCCCTCGTCATTCTCAAAACATTTCCTCTCCACTTAAGCCCCCAACATTAGGTCCTCATTTTCCCCCTCCCTCCCTGCTCCCCCCTCCCTCATGAGCCCTTGATAATTTATAAATTGTTGTTTTGTCATATCTTGCCCTGTCCAACGTCTCCCTTCACCCACTTTTCGGTTGTCCGTCCCCCAGGGAGGAGGTCACATATAGTTCCTTGTAATTGGTTCCCTCTTTCCTACCCACTCTCCCTCTACCCTCCCAGTATCGCCACTCACACCACTGGTCCTGTAGGGATCATCCGCCCTGGATTCCCTGTATTTCCAGTTCCTATCTGTCTCACCATGTATTTTCAATTACCTCATATACTTGTGGAATTTGGATATTGAATAAGGAAGAACCAATGCATTTGCATTGTGGTGCTGGCGAAGACTATTGAACATACCATGGGCAGCCAAAAGAACAAACAAGTCTGTCTTGGAAGAAGTATAGACAAGATGCTCCCAAGAAGCAAGCATGGCAAGACTAAGTCTCAAGTAATTGGACATGTTGTCAGGAGAGTCCAGTCCCTGGAGGAGGGCACCATGTTTGGTAAAGTGGAGGGGCAGCAAAAAAGAGGAAGGGCCTCTTAACAAGATGGATTGACACGGTGCTTGCAACAATGCACTCAGACATCAGAAGGAGTTTGAAGATGGTGCAGGACCAAGCACTGCTTTTGTTCTGTTGTACACAGGGTTGCTATGAGTCAGAACCGATTAACAACAGATTTAGAACTACAATTATAGCAGCTGCAAGTCAGTCTTTGGAAACAACTTATTATTTGTAAAATGGAATAAATATTAAAAAAAAAAACCTGCCTTCCCTGACTTAAAGGGTGTGATAGTAAAATAAGATAATTGATATGAAGTTGGTGAGGATTATGATTTACCCTATAGATACAACTTGGGGTATCACCTTGTACCATATGAATAGAATGATTGTACTCATTTCTTTTCATGATTTATTTTTACTGAACCCCTTCATTCTCATACTGTTTTCTTTAGCAGCATCAGATACTTTTCAAATTGATTTACACCTCAACCTCCATGAGAGGAACACGTGGAAAACCAAACGGCGGCAGACCATTCACAAACCACTCACTGCACATTCTGAAGGACACGCCAGTATGGCACACACACAGCTACTTACAGGCCGCCTAGAGATGGCACTCTCCCGTCTTCCTCGGACTTGTTCAGAGGCACAGCGGGTTCATCGTTGATCACACTTCTCAACTCTTGCAGCAGCTGCTTCAGGTCTCTTGTCGGGTCTTCTTTGAGGGTGTTAGATTTTATAGAGTGCTAAATTAAAATAATTTGGAAAACAAAGGCACTTTATTTCCCCAGATTTCATGCACTATTCCTGTTACAAAATGAATCTTTAATCCAAGTAATTAGAAATTGTGGCAGAGCAAAAAGAGGAAAACAAAAACTGCCTGTATCTTCCTCACCACAAATAATCTATAATAAGCAATCAATCATCACTCTACCCCCTGCCAAGCCACTGCCCTCAAATCCATTCAGACTCAGAGTAACCCTACAGCACAGAATAAAATGATTCCATAGGATTTCTCACAGCATGTGAGTCCTTGCAGGAGACTGCTCAGTCTTTCTCCCATAGAACAGCTGCTGGATCGAACCACCAAAATTTTGCTTAACCAATGTCCCACAATATAATACTAAATCTAATTTATATATGCTTAAGTGAGTACATATATTCATGCACATACTGGAGGTCAAAGTATATATATCTCTTCAAACTCTTAAAAAATTAACAATGCAAGATGAATATCCTGGCCATGTCATTACACTTTTTCTAAAACACACAGGTAAAATGATTAGTACTATCTTTAAAGACAAATGAATTTTACAAATCTCCAGAGTTTTAGAAGAAACTTTATAGAAATGTTCCACATTTCAGTGATGAAGAAAGACGCATCCAACTTTTTACAACTCTTGCATTTGACACCTGAGAAAAATACAAAAATGGGATCTTCAAACTGATACCAAGTGTTCCTCCAATGAGCAATCAGAAGTGTGTTCTCAGCAGGCACAGCCAGAGGGCAGGTCAACTCACAGGCAGAAGTGGGCTTGTGAGCAGGGCCCTCAGATGAAGGACCTTCATGGGACAGTCACCCAGCGTCCTCACTCATAGCCTGAGGTATCTGTCCCCACTGGGGGCCTACACGGACCACAGACAGGAGATGCCACGGTGAACACTGCGACATTTTTCCCTTTGGGTTTTCTCTAGTCCATGCTGACCAAGAGCTGCTGACAAATGATAATACTTCCTTCCCCTCCCAAGTCTCATCGATCAACCACAAATAAAATCCTGCTGAAGATACTCAAGTAGATGATCCAATTTTACCAAATACCTTTATTGGTTTTGTTGGTATCCTTGGTTTGATAATCATAATAGCCAATATGAAATAACATTTTATAAATTTTAAGAATAACCTTATGGCATTGCAATGTTCAGTCACTTTAATTTTAGAAATTTCAGCAGAGCACCTGGACCCTGCTCTCTTCTACCCACTTTGACATTTAATATAAGTCAGCAATAGAATCTTCTACAAACAGATACATCAGTCTTTTTTGTTATCAGTTCTTGGTAACTGGTGATCTACCAGACAGATAAGGTAGAAAATCACTCCTGTCTATCATTCATCTAGTAATTACACATAACCAGCCTTCTGATATTATTGTATTATGAATTCAGCCTTATTTTTTTAAACTTTTGAAATAATAATTGCTCCTCCAATGAAAATGCAAGCTCTGTATATGGAGCAAAGGAATGGTTGGATCCCCATACTCTTTTTATTATTAAATATTTTTATTGGGGGCTCTTACAGCTTTTATCACAATCTGTACATAAATCCATTATGTCATGTATATTTGTACATGTTGCCTTCATCATTTTCTTTTTTTTAAATCATTTTATTTGGGGCTCTTATCACAATTCATACATACATCCATTGTGTCAAGCACATTTGTACATTTGTTGCCATCATCATTTTCAAAGCATTTTCGTTCTACTTGAGCCCTTGATGTCAGCTCATTTTTTCCCTCCCTCTCTCACCCTCCCTCAATAACCCTTGATAAATTATAATTATTTTCATATCTTACACCATCCTCTGTCTCCCTTCACCCGCTTTTCTGTGTTTGTCCCCCTGGGAGGGGGTTATATGTCGATCGATTCTTATGATCGATTCCCCCTTTCTCGCCTACTTTCCCCTTATCCTCCTCGTATCGCTATTCTCAGTATTGGTCCTGAGGGGATTTATCTGTCCTGGATTCTGTGTTAAGGCTCTGATCTGTAGCAGTGCACATGCTCTGGTCTAGTCAGGATTTCTAAGGTAGACTTGAGGTCATGATAGTGGGGAGGAAGCATCAAAGAAATAAAGTTGTATGTTTCATTGGTGTTATAATCCACCCTGACTGGCTCGTCTCTTCCTTGTGACCCTTCTGTAAGGGGATGCCAGTTGTCTACAGATGGGTTTTGGGTCTCCACTCCATGCCCGCTACCCCCCACCCCCTTCACATTGGTATGATTTTGTTTTGGGTCTTAGATGCCTGATACCTGATCCCATCAACACCTCATTATCACACAGGCTGGTGTGCTCTTCCATGTGGACTTTGTTGCTTCTCAGCTGGATGACCACTTGTTTATCTTCAAGCCTTTAAGACCATAGAAGCTATATCTTTTGACAGCCCGGCACCATCAGCTTTCTTCACCACCTTTGCTTATGCACCCATTTTGTCTTCAGCGATTGTGTTGGAAAGGTGAGCATCACAGAATGCCGGATTATTAGAACAAAGTGTTCTTGTGGTGGGTGAGGGAGTACTTGAGTCGAGGTCCAATGTCCATCTGCTACCTTAATACTTAACATATAAATATAAGTACATAGATCTATTTCCTTGTCATTATATATAAATATATTTACATATGTACATGCCTGTATTTAGACCTCCATAGATGTCCTTTGCCTCCTAGTTCTTTCCTCAATTTCCTTTTGCTTTCCTCTTTCCCTATTATCATGTTCGGCCTTCATCCGGGTTCAGTAAATCCTCACTGTTATTGCCTTTGATTAAGCCCCACTAGGTCTCCTACACCCTTCTCTCCATTGATTTTAGTTCACTGGTTGTTTCCTTGTCCCTGGGTTGGTTGACACGCCCCCTCCCCAGTTCCTTTCTCTCACCTCCCTTTCTCCCGTGCCCCCCTCACTCTCCATCCTCTTCATTTCTCCTGTGTGCTCTGATCAGATGTGCCCCTCTCCCCAAGCTGTAGCTTCAGTGCTGTCCTCTGAAGTGCATTCTTCTGGGGCAGGGGGAGGTGGGGTCCACATAGCTGATATTGGGGTTGACTCCCCATAGTCTTTTTTTTTAATTAAATCATTTCACTGGGGGCTCATACAATGCTTATCATAATCCATCCATCCATCCATTGTATCAAACATATTTGTACATTTGTTGCCATCATCATTCTCAAAACATTTGCTTTCTACTTGAGCCCTAGGTATCAGTTCCTCATTTTCCCCTCCCTCTGTGCCCCCTCCCTCATGAACCCTTGATAATTTATAAATTATGTCGTCTTACACTGTCCGACGTCTCCCTTCACCCACTTTTCTGTTGTCCATCTCCCAGAAGGGGGTTACATGTAGATCCTTGTAATTGGTTCCCTCTTTCTTCCCCATTTTCCTACCACCCTCCTGGTATCGCCACTCTCAGCACTGATCTTGAAGGGATCATCTGTCCTGGATTCCCTGTGTTTCCAGTTCCTATCTGTACCACTGTATATCCTCTGGTCTAGCTGGATTTGTAAGGTAGAATCGGGATCATGAGAGTGGTGGGGAGGAAGCATTTAAGAACTAGAGGAAAGTTGCATGTTTCATTGTTGATACCCTGCACCCTGACTGGGTCTTCTCCTCCCTGAGACCCTTC